AAGACAAAGTGGAAAATTCCTACGATGCACTTTCAATGAAAAGTTGAAATTTGGCCTTGGTGGCAACTAAAAGAAAAATTTGTGCAAGGTCTCACCATTAAGGTGAGGGGGAAGTTATCAGGCTGCTCGAGAAAGGCAAAGTCACTGGGGCAGCAGAATCAGGTAATATTCACTGGGGAGACTGTGAAAATAAACAGCATATACAGAGAGACATGGTAAAAGATGATCTGCCTTAAAAACAAGTGACTCACAGAGATGAGGAATTGACTTCTATTGGAAAAGTATGAAAGGGGAAGTACTACAGAAGCTTAGATGGGAGACAGCAATGTTAATACCACACATGTCTAAGCGCAGTGCTCACAAGTAAAACATTCAAAGTCATGTCAACACACTTTCTGCACAGGTGAGAGTCAGGGAGAGACTTGTGTGCAAACACCGCGCCTGCTTTGCGCAAACACCTGGACGTGCTGCCAGGGAGGGAGCGGTGGTGCTTCCCAGATGGTCACTTGGCCAGGAGGACCCACCACCAAGGCCTGTGGGGTGCCTAGAGGAAGGCAGCTCCCGTCCCCCTGTGTGGCAGTGCACAACCATCAGTTCTCTCGCATGCCAGCACCATCGTGGAAAGCAAACCTCAGTGGATGGGCTTGACAGGGGCTTCAGAACACTTCAGCAGACAAGTTCAGACCCAGTCTTCCCAATTCAAATTGTATCTTATTCCATATGTGATTCCACTAACTTTCATTAAAGAGCTGTACTCTTGTGGCGTACAGCTGTATTAACCATGTGTGAGGCTATAAACAATCAATCCCAAATGGTTAATTGCCACAATAAATGTATTTTCGATTGTTGCAATAAATAATTGCTCTCAGAGAGAGAGGTGTAGAATGAGTTTTCTTAGAGAGGTGAAACAGCAATATTTGTGATCTTGTTATTTAGGGAGAACACCCGAAATTTGGAAAATCTGATTGCATGCAAGTGAGGGTCTCCAGTTAAACACAAAAAAAAACCCTGAATAAAAATTAGTGTGAAATGTGAAAAACAACAGAATGTTTGTACAAGAAGTAGAGCAACAGGGCCCTAATACTCCCTTCAGCATCTGGGTAGTACCATACTATAAACAACAAACAGTAACAAGAATTTAGCTGCATGGGAAAACTTAGAAACCTCAGAGGCCTATCACATTCAGCTTTTATACATCTAAAGAGCTGTATGTATACTAGGAAATCTGATCTAAAGACAGTCATATTTGTTCATACAGACAATTTTGAATGTGCAGAATAATCAAGAAAAAACCCAAAGCATCAGTGTGGATAACTTGATCTCTGCAGAAAATAAAGTGGAATGACAGGAGGGAAGGAAGAAAGGATGGAAGTAAACCATCACATCCTGTCTTACTATGGATTGGTTTGTACAGTTTGGTTCTTATTCTCCACAGACTTACAAGTGTGTTTAGTTGCAAACTCATGATAAGTTCAGGTAAAGTCAGTGAGACTGCTGACCTAATAAATTTATACAATTGCTTATTATTTTGAGGAATAAATGCTTGCATTGTCCACACATGTCCATTGTATAACGGAGACTGAAATTTCAGCCAAGCAAACATCAAAACATTAGAGTTATGACCCAGGAGTACGGATGGTGTTGAAAATTGGAATTAAAGCTATAGAGTCCATGTTCTTCGGGTAGGGAGTTCTTTTTCCTGTTTCATCCCTACAACAATGGGATCCTGTAAATGCTCAGAGCTCCAAGGAACAGCTGGTGACATATCAAATTAACAAAACTTTGCTGAGATATTGATGCACTGATGCATGAGGCTGTGCTTCTGCAAAGGTGTACATACATCTCCGCAGGAAGTGCTACCTATTGCTCAGACCTCATAGGCCTTACATCAGAAATTTAGGATAGTGTTATAGAACCAAGTCATTTATTCCAGTGGTTCAAATCCCAGCAAGTCGAAGCACACAAATGAGCCTTTGCATAAATGGGACAAGCACTAAGCACCCTGAAAGTCAGGATAGGTGTTTTTATTAATTTGCTTCTGGGTGCTGAGTTAGGGAAAGATCATGATTTGTGACATACTTTCATCTGAACACAGAGCTTGTATCAGGACTAAATGAAAACTGTTTTGTTATTTTGTATTTCTCACTGCAAGCCTGAAAAAAGATCTAATTTATGTATTGAAATGAAGATAAAAGTTCTTTGAAGAGAGGCTGAAAGGTCCTCTACTCACTGCAAAGCCTTTTAAAACATTTTTTTATTTCCTGAGGAACCACTGAGACATCTGAACAGCTTCAAAACTACTGCAGAGTTGTCTGGGTTGCATCCCTTCAACTGCCATTTAAAGTAACCAAGTCTGAAATGTGTTGAGGTTACTGCAGAGTCAGAATTTTCTAAAAAAAGATAAATAGCTGTAAGTGGGATGCAATTCCAGTCTGAACTGAATAGAGGTGTGTGGCAGAGAAATAGGAAAATACCTAAGTCAGTTACTGCCAACTTTTAAGCAGGGTCATGCTTACAGTCACTGATCTACCTGCCCAATATTCAACTTCGAAACAAGTGTTGGCAAATTGAAAAGAATTCCAAAATGAACTACATGAGTGACATGAGCTCTGGGAAAATAATACAGCATGCAGTTCCCAAGGTTCAGTCTATTTTTTTTTTTATCCAGGAGATATTAAGGACTTGAGCATGACATAACAGTATTGCCATGTCAATCCTCTCAAAATCTATGTAAGCAAGACAACCACAACCTCTGAATCTGTGCAACCTTTCATTTTGGAAAAAAAAGGAATATCTAGCAAAATGCATCACACCCTCAGCTTTGTGTAACTACTCACAAACAGACACCTTATGAAAGTGCTTATAAAACAAGTGAGTCAGAAGAAAATACCTCTTCAGCTAAATTGACGTACTCAAATTAATCCCCATGCCTGCAGCACAACATTTACGTCAGGTCCCCTGCACCTCACCATCACCCTTTTCTCTCTCATTTACACCTTACTGTCCAAGACACAATTTTTCTCCTAACTGCTGACAGACAAGGGATTTCCTTTACTGCCATTCCCTTTTACATGCTTCTCAAGAAAATCTGAATTGCTACTATGGCACTAGTGCTGACACTTGCTGTCCAGGATCTGACTCTACACGTGACCTTAAGACAGAGAGGGTCAGTGTCCCGAGTGGTAGCTGGGCCCACCATTGACTCATTACCCACCTGTAAGACACATGGTACAAACTACAGCAGTGACACAAGGATGTACTCAGAGCTGCATAGCTTGATGGTACAGAACAAGCTTTTGAAATCAGAGTTGCTTCCCAAACTGGCTGCTAAAACCTGCCTCCAGCAAGGTCCACTCCCTGCCACCTCTCCTGTGAGCAAGCCACAAGTGTATGAAACCTGCCCAGGTAAGAGAATGTTTTGTTTAACTTTTAATTAGATAGGGAAAAAAGTTTTAAAAGCTCCCCCCCACCCCGAAACCTTCTTCCTCTTCAGAGTGATTTACAGCAGATTCATGAAGAGCAGAAGATAGTTGAAGGGCTGTGATTCTGTCCCAGGGCAGGGGAAGGTGCCTGACAGGGATGGGCAGGCTCTGAGGGAGGAAGGAGCACAGCACAAGCCTCTTTCAAAGGAGAAACGATTGTGCTGAAAGGTAGCTCAGAGCCAAAACCTCCGAACTTTTCATACATTTCCTTTTCATAACTAAAAGCTAGGATGACTTTGAGGACAGATTCTGAAAAATAAACTCCTTTTTGGTTTTAAATAGGTTGAATTACATCAATTCATACAAAATGAACACAAGTTTGCCTCTCTTGGGGGAACATGTTGTTTCCAGGGGAAAATGCAGCAGAAACTTGTTTATTGGTGCCAAAGAGCAGTGCCAAAGGGGAGCTGGAAACATTGCTGCTGTCAGAAGTGGCTATATTTTGAAAAGAACTGAGAACTCAATACGCAGTTACCACAGGAGTCTTTCTGAAACTGGCCCACTGTGGGTAGCAAAAGAGGTGGAGTTTCTCAAGCCATATCCAAACCACCTAAACTGCAAATGTGGCACCCATAGGCAGAACTTAGGTGTCTAAGTATCCAGTGTGATTGAGATTGACTGTTCTTGGGTGCTATCTCTTAAAACCCCTGAAAATCAATAATTCCTTTACTAAGGGCAGCAGTATTTCCAAGGCACCCACACACAGGCTTTCAATGTAAGCATTAAGTACAAGTGCTTTGGTGCATAAAGCTGGAATCCAACATCACACCAAAAAGCTTTCCCACAATTCAACAATATGCAATGAGACAAACTCCATTCAACCTTTGGAGAGGTCCGCTCCAGAAAACATGTTCTCACCTAACTTACCTTGCATGAACTGAACCCAACATAGGGCTCCTAGTTAAGGTAGCTCTCTTCTAAAACACTGAGAGAAGAGGCAGTGTAGGAGGACAAGTGCTTATTTAAATGACTGGAAAGCATTAAAACTGGCATAAGTGATACTTGGTACCACTTATAGCTCTGGTTTCCTTGAGTGCAGGGTGAAAGATAAGAAGAAACACAGAGGAAAGCAGCATTTCCAAATAGGGAAGTAGGATATAATAAAGTAGCAGTGTGAACCCTGCAGTGAGAGTCTTTCAGAAAACATACTGAAAGCTATTCCCTAGTAAATGGCTTAATAACCATTATTACTGTCATAATATAGCTGGAATGAAATTAAGGATTAGATATGGGCATTTTGTAAAATTCCTCACCCTTTTGATTTAAGCTGCACTATTCAACTCCACAGCACAGAATTTTCTGAATGGCAATGTCACGATTTTCTACAACATCACAGGTAAAGCTTATAAATAATTTAGGAAAATATTCACTTGGCTGGGGAATACCACTTAGCCCCTGTTTACAAGGCATAAGTGAGCTTTCCAGAGTACACAGGACTTGAGCTGCCTCTCTCTGAATAAATAATCCTCTCCCATCACACACATATACACACATCCCCTTCCAAATTAATGTTCTTACCTTATCTTTATTTTCAGAGCCAGAATCCTCAAGTTTGGTGCGAATGACAAAGGGAGTAGATAACCTCAGGAGAACCCGTTCAAATGTGGCACTGATTTTAGGAGAAACTATGTCGAAGCAGTCTTGAAATTTCAGAGTTTTATGAGTGTCACATCTGAGCTGCTTTCTAAGACCTTCTCCAAGCTGAAGAACCAGCATGTTTGGATCAAACATCAGATGAAAGGGGAAAGCTCTGCAGAAGGTGCTGATGCTAATCCTCAGGTCTAAGGGGGACTGAGAAGTTCCATGTGGAAGTGCTTTTGTGATATTTGCATTTTCATGTTCTTTGATAAGGAAAGTCAGACAACTGCAGTTACCTGGGTTCGTCCCCTCTGAACACAAGTTATCATTAGTGACCTGTTCTACTTCCACTTCTAAGCGGTAAATCTTCTTTGCTGCTGCCTTTATCATTCCCATCATTGCAAATCCCACAATCTGATGTGGGTGAAAGTAATGAAGCATGAGATTGCCTTCAGGGAGCTCTTTGCATAGGAAAGAAGGGGATTCCAGGGTGGCCTGTCTTCCAAATGAAGTTCTAATGTGCTCCAGCAAAGCATCAAAGCCATTGAAGAAGTCTTGAAGGGTCCCACCTACAGCTCGAAGAACTCTTTCATTCTCATCAAAGCAGATATTGAAGAATTCCTCCCCAAACTTTTCTTGCATTTCCTCAAACTTCAGACCTATAGGACAATGAGACACTGATATCAACAACATAGTATGCTACTGTGTCACATTTCCCCTTTGTTCTCTACTTGCCCAGTATTTTTCCAAGTCAGTGAGAATGGCTTTTTCACTGGATACCTACGCATAGGACTTCTGTTTTCTCTGGTGGTTGGGATTAACCCTAGAAGCCATTTTTGCCTGTCACCTTAAGTCCTCATGCTTTCAGTTTGCTGTCACAGCCAGCTACTTGTGGGATTTACACTTGCCTGTCTCCTTTTTCCTTCTGGAAGCCAGGATACATTATAATTTCCCTGAGTTTTGCATGTCACATGCAGTCTGCTGTGTGAATGCACCCAGCCACAGGTGCATCCCTTCCATTGCTGACCTCAGCACTAATGAGGTTTCTGCTTTTATAGCCCCTCTGTTCACTGCCTCTATGAGCTCTTACCAGCTTGAAGAATAAGCTACTGGGACTCAAAGTCAGGCCTTTGGCTTTCAATAAGCAATGTAAAGCCCTGCACTCAGATGACACTTTAGTAGCTGGGAGAAGGGAGTTGTGGGTTTGGGGTTTTTTTTCAGACAAAATACTTTTCTCATTATAGCTATTGGGCACTGCCAGAAGATACAAAGGAATAATTACGTCTTTTTTGTTGCCTGCAAAGGAGAACAAAGCCTTTCCAGTTTAGGCTTCTACACTTACCCATCTTTAAAAAAACCCCTGCCTCTTAGAGCAATCTAAACTGCTAGTAAATGGGAGAGCTCTGTGACATCTCACAATGTCAATTCAAGTCTCCATCACAGAAATTCAAAAAGTTTTGATTTACAGAGGTGATAAGGCTGGTATTGCTGAAGAGATGAAAAAATAACAGTGATGGAAGCCCTTGGATACAAATGTGTATCAAATCCTACTCCAGTTTGCTATTTACCATTTTAAGGATAACCTAAAAAAAGTAATTTTGAGATGGTTATTAAACATTTTCCTCTGTCTTATTTTAGGGAAGACATACTCCGTTAAGTTTCATCTGTATATAATCCCTGTATCACTTAGTCGAGTTACAAAATTAATCAGATATGTTTGTATTGTTCTAAGTTGTAATAGAAGAAAAAGAAGTATGAATCAGCTCTATGATGTGAATTACAAATATCCAGCAAGAGTTTTCAAAGGAAATTAATATAGGAATTAACAACATAGTTCCTTCAATGTACTGAAATAAAATCAAATCAAATCAAATCACATTTCAGTCAACTAGCCCAATACCTTAAAATCTATCTTGCATTCTAACAGAAATGAAGGTCTTTTATTTATTTCCTAAGGGCCCAACAGGCCCTTTATTTTAATGTGTATTCGGCATGCTTTTTAACATTGATAAGATCACAGGGGATTACTGAACTTCTCATTGTTTGTTTAGATTGCCAGTAGGCCTTTAAATTTGGAACAACACTGTGATTAGTGACTTCCATGCCCAAGAGGTATAACAGGGGACAGAAGAAGTCATGCATCTGTTGTTTGTGGACAATAACCTTTGATCATCTCAAGGCAGTGTCTGAACTGCCTATGTGCACAGGCATAGTTACAACAATCAATATTGACAAGTGATCTGAGCATTCCACAGCTTTCCAAACTATCTGCAACAATAGTTTTGTTTGGACCTTCAATATGATTAATAGCAGGATAAAATGCATAAAATTACGTATATAAACAGGACAACATGACAACATGACAAAGCATATTTTATAAAAGAAGTAATAGCAATAATTTGGGAAAGTTCATTCAAATGCCATTACTCATAATCAAATTTGGTCACTAAACTAGGTTATTACAAAAATATTCCCAGGATCTTTTATGACCACAGATGGTCAGATCTGCACCTAAGCCAAAAGAAAGTACCTCTGGTACACAATGCCCCCTAATATCCTGACTCAGACGACAGCGTGCCAATTCCTGACTCATTACCACTACATCTGCATAACATAGTACTGTAATATCTTCCATAAAAATACTGACTATAACCCAAAAAGAATTAAATTCTAACCTATACCAATAACATTGTCATAATTAGATTAATAGCAAGGAGCTAAGAAATGATCATATTCATATCTGTACACAAACACACATGCATACTTTTAAATCTCATTGTTCTGTAGAGCAAACTGTGGTAGCTTTAGAAGTCTGTCTGTAAAAGTGAGCACTCTAGCAGGGGCACCCAAGACTGTAAGATTGTAGAGGCCCTGAAAGCAGGAGAACAGGACAGCATCAGAAACCCCTGGACTATTCATACAAATGACCAAATACTGTTACAGAACTATGTAACATCCCACAAAGCTGCCCGAAACAATAGCATAGGTGAGCTGTCTTTAAAGTGTATTATAAAATTACAGTAAAGGTCAGTTGCCCTGACACCACTAACTGAAAATAGGGTATGCAGAATTGATCACTCGTGTACTTTACTGCTATATGTCTAAGCCTCGTCTCATTATCATTAACAGGAGTTGTACCTTAGTATTCGGCCTAAGGTTTTGCTGATTGTCTTAGACTGGTCTTCTCATTCACCCTGGAGAACTGGCTGTTCAATCTGGATGCAACATACTGACTCTAAGCAATACCAATTATACTATGAAATTCAGGTCAACAACCTGGCTCGGGGACATGCCACTACTTTTAAAAATGTTTTAGCTTTGAATTGAGTTACACACACTACCAGCAGAAAATTAGATTAGCAAAGAAGAGCAAAATGGATATGCCCAAGCTCAACAAAACTGCTGGTCTGTCTTAGTCAGGAATTTTCTCTACAATAATAAGACACTATGAGATACTGAGAAAATTAAACAAAAAGTCAGACAATCTTCTAAAACAAACAAGTATAATGTACATATCAGGGAAGTTTCTTCCTAAGCCTCACCAATAAAAGGTCAGTTTTTGCTTAAAGCACAATGTTTTTTCTTTAAATCAAAAGTCTTTATTTAAACTCCTATTATACAAACACACACAAACATTTTTTTCCATATTTCTACAAAGCTCTTGGCTTCAGTGATGTATGAAGCTGCACAAAATACTTAACCCGTATTTTTACTGACTTATTCCTGCCTCTGCTATTGAAACAAATGATGAACAGAAGCAAACACTTACCTAACATTAACTCTGTATAAATTTCATCATAACCTTTTCATTTACTACCTGTATAAATGATCCCAATCTTTTGAATATATTCTGTGGAGTTTCTCCCTACCCCCTTCTCTATACTTATATCTGTTTAGCTTTCAAGAGACAGTAGAAATGACCATCATCATCACAAGGAGAGAAAATATCAGACTGCATCAGATCGCTATTCAGCTGCTCTGAAATCTTGTCTCAGGAGTGATTGGTATCAGATGCTATAGAAAAACTGTAAAATCTAATGGAAAATTGTGAAAAAAATACAGTTTTGAGGAAGCTCCTCCCTAACTGCTACAGTAAATGTTTGGCTTATTCACTGAAATGGATGGAAGTACCAGATTGGGAGATAGCTTTATTACATATAGAAAAACCTGCTTGTTAAAAAAGTTCCCAGAACTCTTTGTCTCTATAGTGCATACTTTACTACATTTGGAGGCTTCCATGGCTAATTATTATCCTTAAAAATTACATTCAGTATGATTTCCATTTCCAACATATTCAGTATTTCCTTTGTTTTTTCTTTTATTTTGAGAAAAGACAAATAAAATCTTCAAAATAATCTTCTTTATAACCTTCAGGTTATACATCTGCATAAACAGTCTAATCTTTTCAAACTCATGTCACATTAAACTCTTTCTCTGCATCTTCATTTTGTTTTCATTTTGATTTTGTAGCTGAATAATTCAAATTGAAGATGGCACTGAAAATGTGAGTCAACTTCTGTTTATCATAATCAATTATTTGCTATTCCTTTCTGAAAAGCTGGCATTCCCATTCTTGCTTTTTCACTATGGACCTTTAATCAAAATTTTCATTCAGCTGCTCAGAAGAAAAAAAAAATATTTGAGATCTGTATGCGTGCCCATCACTTCCAAATGCAGAGGCCACTGCACTCCCATATCGCCTTATGCATGACTGACAACCATAGACAGGGCTTCCTAATGGGCACTAGCTTGCAATCAGTGAGTAGGAAAAAGTCTTCCTTAGTTTCACCAAGACACTTCACTAAATGGTAATGATACAAAATAAACCACGATTCATCCCAACACTCTCTGCTGTTGCCCAAGTCATCTGTTATTTAGAGATTCTGATATTTACCAACCTTCTACTAGTACACTGAATGAAATTCTAAAAATTCATCAGTCTCAATTTGCTTTCCTCCTGGAAAGTGATCTACTGTGTTCCTATCACTTAATCCACTTCTTTGAGAAGACAAATCACACGTCTTAACTCCAATACAGTTTTTTTCCCTCAGTAGTTTCTTCTTGTTTCTTTTTCTTACAATGTCATTTTTATTCTAGCCCATACTGGAGAGGAATTAAATATGCACATCGTAGAAGGGAATTGAGGCAAAGCAACCGTAGAATGAAAATATTGCTATGGACCTCCACTAGAAAGCGCTTTGGGATCTATAACAACAGTACTATGTAAGATGTATTATTATCCTTCAAAAATGTGTCTCAAAGACACCTAGAGAAGACATCCTATACTTGTGAGCCAGATCCAAAATTACCAAAGTCTTTAAGCATAGGCTCAAAGTACAAATTAAGTATTTCACTGAACTGGAGCAGAAATAGATGACTTCATCCTGTAATAACACACTAGTAAAAGGTATTTCTTCATTTTCTTTTCAGCAATTCCTGTAAACTGAAATCCACTACAAAACATCAAGGAACTAATACAGTATTTCTAAGTATTTTGTATATTACTAATTGGAGAAATTAGATAGGAATCTGTTCCCCTAAAGAAAATCACAAATCATAGGCTCTTCAGAAACAAACAGAAGATGAATGATGTGATAAAAATGTCAAAGTAATCCATTAACTTCCAGAGCAGTTACAAGCCATCCAGTTCTTCCTTAAA